TCTGCCTTCAAGGCTGGGTGGCCGGAGAGCTGCGGCTGTGGCCAAGCTCTGAAGGCAGCGTCCCCGTCCCCCCCCCCCAGCAGCACAGAAGTGAGGGTGCAATACCACATTGTGCCACCCTTACTTCTGCACTGCTGCCTTCAGAGCTGGGCAGCCAGAGAGCGGCGGCTGCTTACTGAGGGCCCAGCTCTGCAGGCAGAAGTAAGGGTGGCAATACCATGCCACAACTTCTGTGCTGCTGCTGGCAGCAGCTCTGCCATCAGAGCTGGGCTCCCAGCCAGCAGCCGTTGCTCTCCAGCTGCCCAGCTCTGAAGGCAGCACTGCTGCTAGCAGCAGCGCAGAAGTAAGGATAGCAGTACCAGAAACCCTTCTCTCCCCCCCCCATAACCTTGTGACCCCCTCCCCCGCGCCCACACAACTCCTTTTTGGGTCAGGACCCCTACAATTACAACACTGTGAAATTTTAGATTTAAATAGCTGAAATCATGAAATTTACAATTTTTAAAATCCTGTGACCATGACATTGATCAAAATGGACCATGAATTTGGTAGGGCCCTACTTAAAAAGATACTGCTGATCTGAAACTGGATTAAGTAGGTAGGAGCAGAGCAGCCTTATTTATGTGTGGGCCTGAATGAAACTTTTCTTCATACTTCCACTTTTCTGTCCCAATAACAAGTAGGTTGTTCAGAGCAGACATTGTTCAAGTCTAAATCATAGGCTTAGTATTCCATAGTCCAGCAGATGAGGCTTGTAAAAACTGTGATCTTAAACCTGAACAGTTTGACTCAAGGCTGAGTGTAAACTTATTTTATGATCATGCTGAAAAGCTAAGAGAGGAATTGATTATATAGTTCATCACTTGCACAGTTCTCTCTCTGGCTCTGGGGTGGGGTGTGTTCATTCTCCTCATCTTTTCCACTCCGAGTGCACAAGAGTGTCTCTGCACAGGCCAGGCCATGTGTTTTGGGGTTTGTTTTTTTTTAATTTCTGTATATGAAAACACAACACAATATTTAATACATTTGTTTAAGGCCCTGATCCTGTAAACTTAAATACATATATAATATATAATGCCTACTTAATTCTATACATGTGAATAACCTACTCAATGTGCATAAGTGTTTGCAGAATTGGGGCCTAAATGTGGAAAGACAGCATCTTGCTGTTTAGCACTTGTATATGCTAAAGTGTAAATATTTCATACACTGTGTATAGTACGTACATTATCCCTTTACTTGTCTGAGCTGCTACCATATTGGTGGGTTTTTCTATCATAGCTAAGGGCCAAATTTCAGTCTTGGGATAATGCCAAGGTTTACTAGGGATGTCCTAAATGGTGAGCTGTCATGCTGTCCCATGCAGAGATGACTTCCCATTTGGAAGTCTCCCTCTTATGCATCAGGCTTCCTCCTTAACTCCCTTCCACTGAGGTTTCTGTTGCTACCCTGTTTCCCCGAAAATAAGACATCCCCCGAAAATAAGACCTACTTCCAGTTTTGCCTCTCGCTGTAATATAAGACATCCCCCGAAAATAAGACCTCCCCGATAATAAGGCCATCCCGGAATATAAGGCCCCGAAGCTCCAGGAAAAATAAGACCTCCCCTGAAAATAAGACCTAGCGCATCTTTGGGAGCAAAAATTAATATAAGACACTGTCTTATTTTCGGGGAAACACGGGTAATAGACTACTAATCTGTCTGCTCCCACCATAGCATCTTCTCCAGTTGTCTGTACCTATGCAATTTAGATTGTCAGCCTGTTTGCTTTGCTCTCATCTGTGGCCACTACGTTCTTATGGGCCTTGCTGATTACAGCTCTGGCATTGACCTCACCTTATGGGGGAAAAAAAGCCTTGTAATCCCTGACTCCCACCAAGGGTCTCAAGAAGGCTTAGGCTCTAGACACCGCCTTTGTTACCTTGCCTCCGAGACCAAAAACTTGTACCATGTCTCCGTGTGAATATTCCAGAATCAGCTTTCAGATGGACCACAGAGTTCTTGTTTAGAATAAGGCTTACTGGGAGGCAGGAAGTGCGGGGGGACCTCTTAGATGGAAGACTGTAGCCTTACCAGGAAGGCCTCAGATCCTTGAAAGTACAGTGGACAATTGAAAGCATAATGTTTCTCTTTCTATAGATCAATGAGGAGTCCTTGTCTGACCTCTTTGGCACTGACAGATATCCAGGCCTCAGAGCCAAGTTCTTCCTTACCGCTGCTGAACCTTTTTTGAAATGCAGAATGAGAGGGTTCACTAACCTTGTCTCAGTGTAGGGAAAATTAATATTTGGATGAACCAGGCAGCCAGTTGAATACATGTTTAGCATTACGGTATAGCCCACTGCAACAGAGAGCAGATAGTTTACATGTTAACAGTTTTGCCCTATGTTCTTACAGCTAACCCCTGTTCAAACAACTAAAAATAAATGTGAGATGTGGGACCTTTATAAGCAGTAGCTGATTGTGTGGCTGTTTCTGTAGCTTCTTAAAAATTAAGTATAACCAGGAGGATATCTCGCTATCTGAGTACTTAATCTTTGATATCCTTTCAAACTAGGGAGCTAAAGAACTCTTAATATTCTCCCCACTCATACAGTAATGATGTGCTAGTTGCTACTAAAGCAAGAAGTGTATCTTGATGTCAGTTGGAATGCCATGTATAGGAAGGCAGTAGGATTCAGCTCTGTGGTGGTAGGGAAAATATCCTTTCAACCTCCCTAAAATCTCCGCAAAAATGTACTTTGCCCCACAATGTGGCTTTCAGCCAAAAGTGTAAATAATCTAAAGGAACTGCAGCTTTGTATTGTATGTAAGGATTACGAATGTATGCATTCCTTAGAGGGTGTGGGGAGAGATTAGTATATAATATTATCTGACTTTCCTGTGTTGCAGGGGGTGGGCAAGAAGATTTCTTATTTGGCAGGGGTTAGATCTTCAAATCTTGGTCTTGCCATTTCTAAATAGAGCTTTTTTTTCAGTTTTCAATCCCCCCCCCCCCCGTACCCCCTGTTGCCATTTGGTTTGTAAATTCTTTCTTTTTTTTTGGAAGGAAAATTTTTTTTTTTTTTTTTTTTTTAAAGCATGGAAATTGGGTACTGTCTCATATTTTAAAGCATTCTAGAACTCTGCAAATACTAGAGCTAGGGTGGAAAAGAAGTTTTCGAAAAGTTTAGATTCAGTTGAAAAGAAATCCAGAACCTGCAAAATTCTCTCATGCTTGACTGTTTTTAAACAGTATCGTTTTATCTGAACAAACCCTTAAAGGCATTGGGTCATCTTGCAGACAGCTTCTGGGGTTTGGCCACGGCGGATACACAATTGTGCAACTGTTGATTCTTCAATAGGTAAATAACTGGAAAGAAGGAATGGAGAGATTTTTCTAATAACTTGTTATTTTAATGACTCTTGGAGCCTATGTAACTCACTGAAAGTGTCTTACGTTTTAACTTGAAGGTGTTCCATTTTGTAATTAAATACATTAAAACTAGTATTGCCAATATTTTACAGTTGACGTAAGTGTAGTTTCATATATAAATTATAATTTTCAAGGGCGGTCTCCAGTATCTACATTATTTTTAAGTAGCTGAAAGCTATTTAAACTTGAAACACTGTGCAAAAGGGCAGATATGCCTCTTCCACCTCTTAATCCCAGTCTAAAAATATTTTGAAATGTCACTGGTATACAAGTTCCTCACCTATAGCAGACTTTTCTGTTCTGTTAGTTTTGGCTTTCTGTAGTGTTGCATTCGTAAAATGATGTGTCCCATCTTTTCACCCTCAGGAGGAGGAAAAATACACCAAGCTGTACAATATGTAGCTGGCAAATAAAAATATCCTTGTGTTATTTTAGAAATGCAGATTATACAGGAAGCAAATGGTGGAACAAAGAAGGAAGAGGAGAGCATTACATCCCCTATCCCTCATCTTGTGTAGCAAAACTGTCTGTGGTTTCAAGTTCTCGTTCTCATGGTTTATTACCTCTCCCTTACTGATATTTATGTTGCAACCCTGGGGGTGGAGGGAGGAGTCTTCCTGAGGGGTGCAAAGTGCAGTACTTTTTAGGTGACAGTATTGTTGTATCATACCTTCAGACAATCCTTTTCTGAGCTGCCACTACTGTGCGGCTCCTTATGATCCTTCCTGCAGGCTTGGTTGCTGCTTTCCTGTTTGTTTGTTTTTTTAATTAATAGACAATTTCTTTGTTACTAGTAGAATATCTCTAGTGTTCTGCATATAGTACTAACCTTTCTATTTTATACACTTGATCACCTTTCTCCTTTTGCCTTTGAAATAAACACAATTAATCAGATTCATTATTAAAATATTTGTTCCACAGTGTTCTTAAACCTCCCTTAACGCCTTTTTACATGCTCAGTAGATCAGTTATAAGCATAATTGATGTTTATTGGATTAATGCTGATTGGCTTGGAAGAATAATCAACTGCCTTTTACCTTTAAAACCTTATGTTAAATCTAGCTCTAGCATAAAGGGGAGCTGAACATATAATTTTAAACTCCTAAATTTAATTTGGTCATTATGACATTCTTTTAGGATTAAGGGGTGTCTTAAATGCATCATGCAGTCCTTGCTCACTATGTGCTGTGCTCAGAAGCAATCAACACTAAAATGTTTTCTCATTTAACCAGAAGTCCAATCCAATTCCAGGCTGAGTAACACAACCTGTGGAGCAATCTGGATAAGCCAGTGAAGTCAGTGTCCCTAATTAACTTTGTCTACGTGATAACACAAAACTCTAATTGAGGAATACACTAAAATGTAAATAGTCTTTTAAAAATAAAAAGAGCGAGAGACTGGAGCCATTGTTAATGCTCATCCTCAGTGAGGTGAAGATGCCTATGATGCCTTTAAGAATTTTTTTTATTGGAAATAATGCTTAAAAACATGTACAGTACTGGTTCTATGAAATATACATATAGTTCACACTGGTTGTATGGTTTTTCAATATTTTTTAAATCACTCTACTTATTTTCTCTTTAGCTCAATGTTCGAGTTACCACTATGGATGCGGAGCTGGAGTTTGCCATCCAACCCAACACTACAGGCAAACAGCTATTTGACCAGGTCAGTTGTGCATGTGTGTGAAACCATTGTAGATTGTAAGCTCTTCTTCACATCATGAACCATTTCTCTTCTGACTTTGTACAGGGCCTATCAGAATGGGGTATTCTAAAGCCTGACTGTTGCCTTTGGACTTGGCCACAATAAATAAGCAAAGATCCTTAAAAATAATAATAATAATTGGCCACTATTTTTTTTTATGTTAGAGATAACTAACAAATAAATGGTATGTCTGTCAAATATCCACTAGTGCATTCACCCAGCCTTTACTGCTCTTGATATTTGCCTTATTCTCTCCAGCAGAGACGCTCATGGGTTGTCCTCTCAGTATGGTGAACACAATAAACACAAATTTACGAACATAATCTCCCCCATAATGAGCCTCTGCTAGAACTCAGTGCACCTTCTGTGAGGTTGCAGTATCTTACGAAATTACTCAGTCATTTAATATTTATTAATCTCACTCTGAGACTTTAAATATTGGGCATCTGTCCCTGCTAGGGGATTACAAAGGGAAGGAGACAATAACAGCCTGGAATGAAGGGGCAATGGTAATGACTTTAATGGCTTATATTCCAAAGGGTATGAGAGAGACTGATTAGTATCCCTGGGGCTCACGTTTCTCTAGTGAAGCCCATTTCCAAGTGATTATGAATCTTTCCCTTTATATTGAGTTTCATTCTCTGGGTGCCAGAGGTATAGTAGAGCGTCCTGGAAAGGTTTCACTGTGCCACCTTGCTAGTTTCTTCCATTGCTGATGTGCTGTCCTGTGAAGAATGAGCTGTTTAAAACTCTTTCATGTGGGTAATGTCTTACCTTAAGCTGATGATATGTCTTGTCTAGATTAGTGACTTTTGTCTTTCTACTGATGTAGAGGGACATACTGTAAAATGAGCCCTGAACTACAGTACACTGTTAGATCAACATAGGGCAGCTTATGTCGACCTAACTCTATCATTGTACACACTACAGTTTTACTCCCTCCAATATAACTGCCCCACTACACCAACATAATAGGGCCTTGTCTACACCACAAAGTTTTGTCAGCAAAAGTTATTCCTCTTTAATTTAAAGCGCTTTAATTAAAACCGCTGTTGCATGTCCACACTAGCTCCTTGTGTCGGCAGAGGGCATCCACACTAGCAGCTCTTGCATCGACACAGAGCAGTGCACTGTGGGTAGCTATCCCACTGTGCAACTGGCTGCAGGGTGCTTTGGGAAGGGTTTGCAATGCCTCATGGGGCAGGTATAGCGTCACGTGATGCAGGTTTCTCCAGGGACATCCTACTAGGTTGAAAAAGCAACTGAGGACTGAAGTGTGTGGGGGGGAGGGGGAGGGAGAGGAGAGGAGAGAGGTGTGTCTGGGGCAGGGGAGACAGCAGGCTGACAGACCTATCCTGGGGGAGGGGGACACTCTCCCCACATCAGGCCCTGGTGTCCTTCTTCCCCCCCCCCCCTCCCCGCAGGGCAGAATAGGAGCATTCCACGTTAATTATTTGCTCTTTGTTCTCCAAATGGAGCAGCATGCTAAGCTGTCAGATACTTCAGGTAGCTTTGAAAGGGGAGGGGCGCATGCCTGCAGGGCAGCAGAGATCAAAACAGTGAGCAGAGCGGTTACAGCAGGCATTGTGGGATACTGGTAGGGTGACCAGACAGCAAGTGTGAAACATCAGGACGGGGGTGGGGAGTAATAGGAGCCTATATAAGAAAAAGACCCAAAAATCGGGACTGTCCCTATAAAATCGGGTCATCTGGTCACCCTAGATACTGGTGGAAGCCATTTATGTGGACAAAACAAACAGCAGTGTCTACTCTGATGCTGTGTCACTTTGACTTTGCTGCAAAAAGCTTTATGCCTCTCATTGAGGTGGTTTTATTTTGTTGGCAAAACAGCAGAGTTTTGCCACCAAAAGTAGCTTTGTAGTGTGTGTACATCTCCCCTGTTTTGTCAGCAAAAGGCCGCTTTTGCTGACAAAACTTTATAGTGAAGACAAGGCCTAACTCTACCTCCATGAGAGGCGTAGGGCTTATATTGGTATAGTTAGGGCGACATTGTCCATGTAGATGCTGCTTTACTTATGTCAGCTGTTGGCTGTCATTCTTGTCAATTTCATGGCTCCAGGCTAGAGCTGTGAAATTGACAAGAAAATCCTCTTCCCGCCGAGCCAGGCTGCCTCCGGGGTCCTGGCTCCACGCTCCCCACACTGCCCCTCTTAAGTCGCTGGAATGTGCACCACTGACAGAAGGAGGGCAGTGTGGATATGAACTCCGCAGTAATTACTGCAGTGGCTGTAAGTCGACCTAATATAGGTGTACATGACAATATGAGGGTTGTGTATTAAGGGCAAATTCTTTTAATAATTGAATATACAGTAGAACATCAGTTACGAACACTAGAGTTACAAACTGACCAGTCAATCACATTAGCTCATTTGGAACCGAAAGCATGCAATCAGGCAGCAGGAGAGATGGAAATAAAAAAAGCAAGTACAATACGTTGTTAAACATAAACTACTAAAAAAAGAAAGGGAAAGTTTTTAAAAAAAATAGATTTCACAAGGTAAGGAAACTGTTTCTGTCCTTGTTTCATTTAAATTAAGATGGATAAACGCAGCATTTTTCTTCTGCACAGTAAAGTTGTATTAAGTCAATGTTCAGTTGTAAACTTTTGAAAGAACAACCATAACCTTTTGTTCAGAGTTACGAACACTTCAGAGTTACAACCTCCATTCCCAATGTGTTTGTAACTCTGAGGTTCTACTGTTTATATCAGGGGTCCCCAACGCGGTGCCCGTGGGTGCCAGGGCGTCTAAGTGCACCCGCGTACTGGCCGGTGGACTAGCATTCGCCGAAATGCCACTGAGAAGCAGCGTCATCCAGACGTGTCGCTGCCGAAATGCCCCCGATTTTCGGTGGCGACACCTCTGGATGACGCTGCTTGTCGGCGGCATTTCGGTGGCGACGCCTATTGACGTTGCCGCTTGGCGGCTTTTCGGTGGATGCTCATCTGCTGCCACGGTCCTCCGTGGCTCGTCATCTGGCACCCGCTAGATGAAAAAGGTTGGGGACCACTGGTTTATATAAATATGATGAACACACTTACTTCCATCAGGTATCTTTTTAAATATCTGGGTTAAAATATTGCGCACATGAATTACTGTAATACCTTGGACTTCTACAATAACACTTCTTGATTCAAGTCTTAATACCTACCTTTGGCAATTGCCTTATCACCACCATTCTGTACAGATGGGGAAGCAAGGAGGAAACTGAGGGACAGATGTTGTGAGTTGGCTGCAGAGTAACAGGACCCCAGAAGAGTCAGGCATTTTGCATATTAAGTGTAACCGCTTTTTACAGGGCACATCCACCCTGTGCATTAGGACAAAGCAAAGAGGCTGACCATTGGTGTCAGTGGGTTCTTCAAAACACACAGGTCTTATAGGCACTGAAGAACATGGGCAGCCAAACTGTCTCCTCTTGCTGTTGCTCCGAGGATATGCTTAAAAGAAACAGCATGAGCTCATCTCTGATGTCACTAGTGGGAGGTGGGGCCGCTATGGCTCAGAACAAGAACGAGGAAGTGATTGAATTGAGGCAAGTGGCATTTTTGTAAACCTTTTTATACCTTCTTTTTGTGCCTGTAACAAATACCCAAGAGTTTTTATTGATTGGGTAGAACAGAAATAGGCCAAGAATGGCCTAATTTATCCTAGGCTTGCTTTTCACAAAGACCTAGCTGTACTTCTATATATATTAGAGATGAATTCACAGCTCTGGCTTGAAAGAGAACTTGTTTGTAATCATAAAGACTCCTGTATGCCAACAGAGCATTAATATTGCCTGGAAAGAGAGACTAAAACTGTACACAAAAATGGCAAGATTAGCTTAACGTCTCTTACAAAATGTTGAATGAGTTGGGTCAAACAGTTTTTCTTTGCTCCTCTACTGGTCCTTTTAACAAAAGGCTGTGTAGTCTGTCTTTCAGCTCAAGTAGGCAGAACTGGCTGAATAGCATGCATTCTTTGTACAAATTTTGTCAACACACTTTGAATGACATTTCAGACAAGAGTTGGCCAGAGCCAACTCAGTCTTGTGGGAACTGTGCGGATTCCTTTTTTATAGAAAAGATAGTCTGAGTAGCTTTTGTTTTGGTCTGACTTGCAATCACTGCTGTACTTGAAAGCTAACTTGCAATATCACATTTTATTGTAAGAATGATGCAATTTTAATTTCTTTTGATCACTACAGACCTGGGCTAGATTTGAAATCTATAGACTGTTTGCCAAATCTCCAATAAAATGATTTTAATTAAAGCAGCATTTAGTTGTATGACCTAGCTACAGTAGCTACCTGTAGATCTGGCTTGACTTGCTACGCAGAGAATAGAGGAGGGTTGCAGCAGGAAGGGGGAGAATATATTTACTTCAATCTTTCAGGGTATAACTTTCAAAAGTTCCAAGGTCTCACTTTCAAAAATGATTTAGGAACTATTGAAAAATCTTATCCTCAATCTTTAGTGTTGCCTGCTATAGATGCAAGTCAAATATTTCAGGCAGAAGTGATTGTTTTAAGATGCTTCTTCAAATATCTAACTCTATTTCTATGGATATACCATCTTGAAATACAATCAAGCGGGGTGGTGGTATACTAAATATAGCTAGCTTTTGCATAAATGGCAGAAAAGTCTCAAGATTTCTTAACTACAATTGAACTTTGATGTGAAAAATAAGCTTAAAACAAGTTTAAAAAATAACAGCAGTGGCAAAGTAGTGTTGGCTACTACCGCTTACAATGACTTACCGCGTCTACCAAGATTCCTAGGAGTACCTTTCTCTCCCACCCCTGCCCACTGTTCTTTTTAACAGTCTTCCATATGATTGGGATGAAATATCAATGAAATAGTATGCTGGGACAGAAAACTCTTTAATCTGACATGGTCTTGCAGTGTCCGTTGCTGGAAAGGTAACAAGGTCTTGCAAATCTCACACTGAAATGAGAAG